AAAAATCAATACAATCCTATTGGAAAATTCGCACACACGACCTGGTTTTTCAAAGATCTCCTGGAAAACGAAGTTAGGAAATTTTTCTGAAACTGACTTTCGCTTATGAAAAGATGTCTTAAAGTGTTCTCTTTCTAATGCAGAAAACCGCACTTCATTATCTATCTCCCGCGAGGAGTTATTCAAAAAGCAACCGAGTGCCAACCATTTTGAAACGGAGAGTAGTACATGTACGTGTACTGTATTTGTCACATGTATGGAAATCTTCACATTATCTACAGAAAAGAAGTAATTTTAACTTTTCGAATAAATGACCTTGAAATAAAATTTTATCGATACCGATTAATTGTAAGGTCAAGTGATGGGTGAGGCAAAGTCTTCAATTCACTCTTTCTGGCCTCAGATGGATGACATGAACAGTTGTAATTGTCAGCATATAAGCTACAATAAATTGACAGTGATACTCTCCAACCTTAAGATCGTTTCGCTTCTGAAATACATTGACCACAAGTTTATACAAAGGATGTACGAACAGTTTTATTTAAAATCTTAAAACACTCATTTCAGTGACCCTCTTATTTAGTTACCAAATGTAATAATTCCTTGTTATTTTGACAAATTGAAGTCTGACTTACGAATTTTTAAATCGATTATAAATACTTGTATGTTGTCGATGAAATTTAGTACATCAAACTACACGATGACCAGACGCTTTTTGGATAAAACTATTTTATCTGTTAGGAGGAAAAATGTTTTTGCGGAGATTTCTAAACTTGTTTTGAAAACTAAAAACGCTCATTTGTATGAAAAATTATTCAGTTTATTCGATTGTCTTTGATCAATAAAATCGAAGTTCAGAGAAAGGAAATAGCACTCTATGTTTCACACACAGACATTTGTTTTTCTCTAATTGTTCATTTTAGTTATTACAAAAATTTATATATCGATTAATAATGAGTGTGCAAGATTCAACATTATTGGTTAATACAACAACCAAAACAATAAATTCTATACCATCGTCGACTATAGCACGTAAAACGACGGTATTTTCAATTTTACCCCCAACACCGTTACTTGAGGGGGGTCATTACGCTTCTTTTAATACAAAGTCGTTTATAATAGCTCACATCATAGGTGGAATTATGATTATCGTTTTTATCATTGCCACAATATTAATAGTTATTATTTTAATATTACAAAAAAAGCGTCGTCTTAAGCAACAACAGCAACGACCATCAGTGACAGCTGACACTATTTCACGTGAAATATCTGTTTATTCGATAACGTCATCGATTGTGCCGTCAGATAGAAGATTATGTAATTCGATAACAACTGAAAGCATTGTATAAATCATGTATACGCTAATTGTTGATAGTTTTTGTAATTGTAATATATGCTTCAAGTTTTGTACAATATTCACATCAAACTTGATCGGTAGTTTTAAAGATTTTTAAACAGACACAATTCGATGAGTTCTACAAACTAATCAGATCTGGATCTCTTGATTTCGAGATTTATGAGGGATATCTAAATATTCCCAAGCGAATAAAAAGCATTGCATATTGGGCAATCCAAGCTCGCTAACCCAATATAGTAGTCAATATACCTAGATAACACAATACCATACCCAATATATCTAGCTTGCCCAACATATTATTCGATATATCGACGGTCGGATTATTTAGCTTTTTGTTTTGCAGCGACAGCACCTATATATGTAATACATATGCTCCATAAATTTACAAAGTTTTTATTCATATCAAGTCAATATATTGAGCAATAATAGACCAATATATTACAGAAAGCAGGATACAGATGTAATTTGTATGATACAGACATACCGGGGTACAATGTAGATAGCATCCTTCATGCTGTCAACACATGAGTCGATATATTGGGCTATAACAGACCATTATATCGGGACCACAGCTCCTCACACTAGCCTTTCTTGTATCCCGATGTATTGAGACGATATCGGGATGCACTGGTTACCATGCCCAATATATCTGGATAACCCAATAAAAGTGACACCTATACCTAAATATTTCATAGTAGGATTGCCCAATACAGTGATAAAATATCTAGATATTTTCATGTATGATTTTTGCTTGGGAGACTTTTAAAGACAAACTCAGATACTCAATAAGGGCACAAGCGGACATCAAATTCGTTATCGGCATCAAGAATTAGATGCCCTAGAAAAAAACAATTTTTATTAGAAATTGAATCATGTAGGAAAGTTATCTCATAAATTGTACAATGTACTATTCGATGTTTATGTACGAACAACCTTCCCTGAGAATCTACTTGAACATTCTCCTCTTATCACCCACTTCTTTTCAAAGAAATTTTTCTCGTTACTGAACCTTTCATTCGTATCAAATTGAGGAGAAAAGTCTCGTATCTGTTTGGATATCTTTTAGGTTTTTGACGTGAACAAGACCAGAGATCCAAAAGAGAAGAGATCAGTGAAGGTTAATCAAGTTGGAAAAACAACAACTTGGCTTTTCACATAATTCAACCGAAAACATGATTTTGACACGTGATAAGAGCTCTATAGGACACTTGGTTACGCAGCTATTGCTAAGATATTCAGCGATAATCTAAAGTTTTTTTTGAACAATGTGTCTCCATTTTGTTGATATATCTGCGTAACCAAGAGTCATATAGAGCTCTGACATATCTCATTATTAAGCACACTTTTCGTCACAAAATGAGACACGAGCTCCTGACGTTTTTCTGTATCGAAAGATATGAAGGCAAGAAAAGAGACGAAAAAAAGCAAAGGGTACACGATCTCCTAAAAGGTTACACACTTATAAGTAACAGTCTCTGTAAGAGTTACGTTAGCCATCGGCTTTTTACTTTGAAATTGATAGTGGTTAAAGAATTATGTATGTTTAGCTTTTTGTAAATATTTTGTATAGTTTTTCGCAGACATTTTCAGCTTTTTAGTAGCAATTGTAAACGCTTTGTGACTTTGTTCATTAAATTGATGAACACAAACAGATTCCTATGACACCAAACAGCTTCAGTCCATACAATTTACATTTCGTAATATATTTGGAAAAAAAGTGGAAGTGAGCTTAAATTCCTGATTTTCTAGGACGATATGGAATTTGAAGTGTCACTTACTCACTTAAGTGGCAGTTTAGAAGTTAGGCACTTAGAATGACGCTTAACTCAGATCTTTTCGGTATTACACGGATTACAAAATGATATAGAATAGCTCTATACACCAATTGAATATTAACATGTTCCGATCTAATAGACAGAAACTATTTTAACGGTAATAATGTAAAATAATTTGATTTTAACGATTTGTCACATTAACAAACTCACTGAAAAACATGATTGTTTATCAATCTACAGGTAAATGTTTGTAGTTATGCGTCAAAATGTTATAAATAAAAGGTTAGAGTGAAGTAGTGAAGGCTAATGAAGTAAAAAATAAATACAACTTCCATTTTATACACCAAAAATACATACTCATACATATGTCAACCATAATTGTTTAATAATCCATCGAGTTTACATGACTATCAATATTTTTTCGTAACAATAATAGAAAACTAAATCAAATCATTCTTTTTGTTTATAGTGGTAAATAGAAACTGGTAAGTGAAAAGTTTGAAAAGTTTAATCATATTCTTTCTTTTTTCTTGAATTTATTTTGTTAAAGTTTAGAATTAATAGCACATTTTTAATATTTGACTTAAAAAATGAGAAAAAAATCGCATTTTCTGTTTGGTATTATTTTCATATGTCTGTGTGTAAAATCATATGGTCAAGATAAGTTATTCAATATTAGCTTATTGATGACTGGTATAACAACGACAGAGGTAAACTAAAACTTCTGATTTTCAAAATTTTACAACTCAAAGGAAAAGTCAAAAACAAAAAAAATTTGCGACAACGTCATGCTGTATTCTAAATGTCGATTTTGTTTCAACCTCTGACGTACTCTATTAGCTTAACTATTTAAAAACAAAATTTCAGGTATTGAATAAAACAGTGTTTTTTTAGCATAAACTAAACCTTCAAAAAATTCGTATCTCCTCAACGGTAGGTCATGGGGAATTGGGAGCAGTCTTATTTTCTAGAGAATGCTTCACTCTATAATGTACCATTGTTAACTCTGAAATGCAACATTTTTTATTAAAAAGAGGTATTGCCCTTAAATTTCATAAATTTAAATCCGTTTTAGGATAATAAGTATGTTCATCTTCATTACTTACTACCCGATAAGCAATGGAACATAAGTATGTCGATGATAACTGATTCATCCAGAGTCACTTCAAGATAATGTCCAATTCTAGTCGGTTTTCGTCCAATAGTTCAATCCGATAGAGTACATCAGATAATATCCTATGCATGTAGAAAACCTCATACATTGCTCGAAACCACATGGTATGTCACATCACTTAGAACCGTATAGAAAGATATATCAACTTTCTATCGTTCAATGAATATTTTAGGCATGGAACAAATTTGGCTTGTGATAATCAGGCTGAAACAATGATAATCAATGAATGGTCACATAATGCGTCACCTCTAAAATTATATAACGGTAAGATTTAAAAGTAGAGATGTGCACGGATACGATTTTCATATCCGTACCCGACCCGAAAATTTCATTTTTACCCGTACCCTACCCGTACCGTAGTACCCGTACCCGAAAACGCAAACGTGCTAAAACAATACATATATATAACTTTATCTACTTACTATTCTTATAATCACTGATTATGACAGAAATTTATTTTTAGAACTATACTGAAGTGTACAATACGTTTTATGAGAAAAATATATATGACTGAATTTTTGGACTACAGCTAATTATACATCTATGACACTGATGTATTTTCATTGTTCTGGGAAATATTTGTTTCGTAGCTTCAGAACAGAAATTGAACATACACGTTATTGTTTGTTATATAAACCCACTTACATTTTTCGACCGATATCGTCTGACATATGAAACAAAGCACCTCACAGAAAAATGAATATGTCAGTTTGTTATATATTTTCTTATTTGATTTATAACTTCGAGACTAAAGCGAACTAATAACATTAGATTTCCTCGGGTATAATCTAAAAAAATCTAACCCGTATCCGACAACTTTGTACCCGTACCCGACGCTTTCGTACCTGTACCCAGCCTTCGGATCGGGTCGGATACGGGTATGGGTCGGGTTGCACATCTCTATTTAAGACAACAATTGGCTTTGGCGTATGATGAGTATGAAAATATATCCTCTTTCGAATCAATGTTGGCCAGTCTAATCTTTTCTACATAATACTATTGAATGACAAAGTATAATAATAGTTTAGCGTATTTTTAAATTTCATATTATTAACTTTTTTAGATACTAGTTTTTCTGTTGGCAAGAATACTCCTTATCAATATCTTGTTATTACAATTCATTATTTTGAAAAAATACAAAATGACAAATCGGGTATGGAAATATTTATGAAAGAAAACAGGCATGTGTATTATTTTCCTATTGTCAAGTGATTAAGTTATATTATTCCTATTGTCAGGACAAAGTATGAAGTCAGGATCATGGTGGCTGGAACAAACATATTAGAAATACCTTCGAATACTTTAAGTAAGGCAATCGTTTTGCTAAAAAACATGCAATTTTTAACTATACACTTTAGATTATCAAGCCAATTTTTCTTGTCAATATACGAGTGCACCAGTATGGATATTTGCTGTTAAAATTCATACACATCAACAAGGTTAACAACGTACTGACAGTAAACGGGAAAAGTGTTCGAACAACAGATGTATCATTATATTTAAGGTCGTCTGGTGTCATTGTACCGAATTCGAAAGCGTTACTTTGGCTATACTCAAGTTGAATTGTTATATAAAGGAAATCCACTGAAACCGCAATCATTTCATCAACTACAATATAAAACGTATCTGAGAAACACTGATTATCTCGTTGGACAATGTATCTATGAGAATCATAATAATAATCGAACAATTCATTATGGGTAAATTGAGTACTCAATTTACCAATCAAATAGATCATAGACAAATTTTTATAAATTTTAGTCAAACAGTCAATAGTGAATTGTGTACTATTTACATCATGTATTTATCCGTAGATAATATGGATAAATCCATTCAAAAATGTTGGAATAATAATTATCCTACATTAACACGGTTTGTTCGAATTCTTAGAAATAATATTTGTTTTCTACAATTGTGTTGTTTATTAGTTACATCCCAATTGACACTAATTTTGAATCTTCAGTGCTCAACAAGAATCAGATAAACACTACGATAAACAACAATTCAGAATCATTTAATACATCGAAAAGTAGGTTTATTTCTTGAACTTATATGTTATGACTTTCTTTATCGTTTTAGTTTTACTCGTACTAATGACGTTAATTTTGCTGTGGCTAGCTATTATTTTTGGTTGCATCATTATGCGTATGTTTTGAACAGGAAAACGTCAAATATTGTGTCCAAATGTGAATGTACAGTAATATTTTGTCATTTAGGACAAATCCGTGGACTAGTCAATATGAAACCAATTTCACCGTGGAAAAATTTATCTGCTAGTAGAGGAAATCAAAAAGGTGCAGATAGAAAACGTGCAGATAGAAAAAACAGCAGTGGTGGAGAACAATTAACTAGTTGTATGGAAAACGATATTAATATGCAGCACTAACTATCCAATGATCTGCTTATGACAATGTCTTTTATGTTTCATCCAATAAACAATAATTTTGCATTCAGCTATTTGCCCAGCTAAGCTGTCGTTAGCTAGCGGCATACATTCCAGTTACTCAAATCACTTTTCAGACTTCTTTTATCTATCATGGAAGAAGAGAAAAATCAGAAATAATGTCGGGTTCATAATTTCTGGTCTCACTGTGCAGTGTCGATCTCAACATTTTTTGCATAAAAAACAATTTAATCTACAACTATTAACTGTGATGAACCGTTTCCTAAAAACCGAATTTCTTCAATAACCGCAAAGTTTCTAGAATAACTATGGTGGTAATGTTTCGTAACAGGCAGTTGAGATGGAGGTGACAATAGACTATGTTGAGTCGATTTCAAAAGTTAAAGTAATTTTTGACAAAAATTATTCGATTGTGTACGACTATAATCTAATTGCGTGCATAAATGTTGGAATATTTAGAATACACTGTAAAAAAACGATTTCCTCAGAAAACTGAAAACGTATTTTCCGTTTTTCTCAAAATAACACGACTTCTACGAAAATTAGTTGAGATGAATTTTTCGTTTTTGCAGAGATCCTTATCTAGAAAATTTGTTCCCTAGAAAACACCAAGTCGAAATATATTTTCGCTTCTAACTGTCCATGCTTTTAGATGGATGTCGATATAACTATCAATGGAATATCAATGACTGTCAAGAACAAATATGATCTGAAAGTGTGCATACTCTTGTAAATAAACAGAAATTTTTGAAAATAATTCTTCATGTTTTTATGAAATTATCGTATACTCTATATATATTAGACTCTATAAACAATGGACGAATGGGAAGCGAAGAATGAGGGATAAGTAGAGTTTATTTAATTTAATTTAAGTAGTTCTTATTTTATGGATAAGTAGGGTAGAATCACACCGTTTTTCTTTATCCATCAAAAGAAAAAAGCTAGATTTCTCACTACAGGTTCAGTAACTATAAGTTCTTCTCTTACTTATTGAATAGTAGGAAGGACTGAAACATGTGATATTTTCTGATACAATTTGATGGATCCTGTATTGCTTAATAGTTTTGTTCCAATAAAGAACATGATCGAAGAACCATCAGCAGTGCTAAAGTTTACAAACTAGTTCCGCTTGTTTGGTCGTGAGGTATATTTTACAGTCATCCCTCGAATAGTTCCTTAGTGAGGAACTATTCGAGGAATGACTTTAAAATATAATGAAGATATGTTGAAGAAAACGATTATATATTTATCAATCGAAGCAACAGAGAGAGGACTGCAAACTGGTAAAGACATCCATTTATCAACACGTCGGCATAGGATAAAAAACAATAAAACTATATCAGAAATCATTCGTCAACTCTTCCGCAAACAAGGCTTTTGCCGTTCTGTTTTAATATGATTTAATTCTTAACAGCTGAACTTTGTTTTATCTGATCTTTGTTAATATCGAAAAGAAATAATGAAGACTGGTGTAATATAGAGTCATTTATCTATACATTTGTTGTATTAATTTATAAGATATTTTATCAATCGATTGCTAGATTTAACCGTGTTTTTGATAAGTGCAACCACAGCTGATGGTTTTTATCAAGTAGTGTTACTCGTTTGATGCACCATCATTCAACCACTTTTACTTTTTTTCCAACTCACTCTCACAGTACTTCAACACACAACGCTCTAAAACATACACGAATAGTTGCGTATCTGAGTGGCTCTTAGTTCTGTGGATAATCGAGAACTTTTCGCCTGAAAATCACGGGAAAACGACATAAAGCTGTTGTGTTTACCATATAGTGGAGAGAAAGTTGGTCAAATATGATATGGAGAAAGTGTTTAAATACGAATGAATCAACTTTACTAAGATAAAAACAGCAAATGTAGTTGTCACACTTGTCAAAAACACGGTCGAATCTACTATACCACAGCCACCAACACACGCTTTTCGATTGATGTTTTATAAATTAATACAACAAATTTATAGATAAATGACTGTGTATGACGTCAGTTTCTTTTCGATATTAATAAAGCACACATAAAACGAAAAACTTAACTGCTCAGAATAGGCTTGCATATATGTCAGGATGGCTGTTGTGTGTTGTTTCGATGAATTATCAATTTGGTATTGTTGAAACGTATGTAGAATTAATTTTCTTTTTACTTCACGACAACACACTCGTACATTCTTAGAGCCAAACAACAGTGCTTTTTGTGTATTGGTATAGTTTCATTATTTCATTCAAACTGCGTTGACTCACGCGGTGCCAGGTGAATTTGACGAGCTTCTATCTGATCTGATGTTATAAAAATGTTGAATAGAAACAATACGAAAATCTCTCCCGATCGAGAAAGGCATTTTTATCATATACTACAGTAAAGGAAAAGAAAACAACACGGGAAAAGGAAGAATGCAGAGTTACAAATATGTGTCTAGAAGCGTAAGAAATATCTACTGGTTAATCTTCAAATGCTTAATATATTGAACATAAGTAGATCCAATATGTATAATTTTCGAAATAAAAAATAAAAGAATTTTTGTCAAGTTCGAAGATTTTTTCTCTGAATTTTGACAAGATATGACTTCAAAGTGCAATAAGGCTTTATGCGGTAATGTTAAGTATGTTATTTGGCATGGCACTCTTACCTATGATTTGATTAAGTTGAAGCAAAAACATGTACCGAAAGCGACAATAGAAAATGCACGTTAAAGATGTTTTACTTCGAGAAGTTAGAGTTAGTTATCATAAAACTATTAAATGTCATCCTGGATATGTGGCAAAGAACACAGACAAAATGGAGTAAACAGGGAAATCTAGCTTACAAAATAACTCAAGTGTTCGTTTAAAAGTAAATTTTTTGGAGCAAATAGCCAGCTGCGCCGAGCAAGTGCCCATTTGCTAGCTCCAAGCGGGTGCTCCAGTAGGCGCTTAATTGAGCGATTAACGCCCAATTCAAACACATCAGCTAGCTTCAACTCACTTAAGCTGGCCTGGGTGATTTAAAAATTGGGTCACGTAGCTGCAAGTCCCCACTGCACGTTTCCTTTTAGTGCTTGGGAATGCATGCTCAAGCAAAAACTCCATCATTATAATAAAAAATGCAGAGTAAATATAACAACGTGCTGAGATACTGGGACATATATTTTAAACTTTAGTATTACATCAATGTTAAGAAAAGAATAAATGAATGAACGACGCAAAAAAAGATGTAGAGAATAAAGAGACATTTTTTTTTTATCATCGTTGCTATCATCTTCATTGTATTTTCCTAACATATCTCTTGATATTTCTCTTCAAATATCTTTTCCAAATGATCTTCATACGTTACTATCAGTTCCATATAGATGTTAGTGTTTAAAGTTTTTTGTTTCAACTGCTTTAGTTTCAATAAAATAACACCACCTTAACCCAAGCAGGCATTTTTTAGACCAAATGCACTGCTAAACGCGTCTTTTGCACTAAAAACGCGTTTACACGTGTTAGGCTGCTGCTAAACGCGTTATAATCTAATGCGTTTCACCAGATTTAACAGCATATTCTTTCGCAGTACAGCGAAAAGAACGTAGATAAGCTGGTGGAAAAGAGAGCAGGACCATAGAACTGGTAGAGAGGATCAAGAGGATCAAGCAACTTAATGAAATTCATTTAGTGCAAGACCTCAAGCACCGTCTACTTTCACATACTTCACTTTTCCATTGTTGAAGTGGTGTAAATATGAAGTCCTTCTCCTAGCAGAGTTTCAGGTCATTCAGTGCGTGACCACTTTACATAGAGACAGAGATGCACAAGACCTCGAAATTCGACTAAGTTCGAAGTTTTGTAGAAGTTCTTCAATTTTGGAACTGAACCTATAGGTAAAAGAGCAACAAAGTCAGGAATTACTTTCATTCGACCTTCGCAGTCACTATTTCTGAAAATAAAAAGTGATTTTAAGGCTATTTTACTTTGAGCAAAATGAAAGATCTCTGCAGACAAGAGTAAAAAGAATGCAGACAAAAAAAACAAAGTGTTTCGTGATACTGTTTATCAGTTGAGTATTAAAATCTATATTAACACCAACAAATGTTGTGTAAATGCATTTGGCTGAATTGATTTTAATTGATTCTATCAAATAATTTGATCCATATCACAAGCGTTCGGTTGTGGATCTGTCGCGAATATCATTCAATTATCATAGTGATTTGTCATTTTTATCAAATAATTTTGATCCTTCATTGATACCGGCACTCAAATTCGTACCACCAGTAGTGTGTAGTTAGAGATACTCTATTTAAAATTATTCGTATGAATATAAGTTAATTTTTGTAGTGATTGGATTACTTTTGAATGGGTCATCAAATGTGACTAATTCAAACCTGTCATCTTCCATCAAATGTTGTGTTATTTTCTTAATGATATCGAGAGCTGTTTGAATTTTTGATCATGAATCATGACCGCTTTTTTGTTTAGAATGACGATAATGATAATGATATCGATCGAACAAGGAATGCATTGAATAACTAATGTCAAGAACTATAACTAAATTTAACGTTTTTCTTTCGAATGTAATTCTTTTCAAATTTGAATTTATGAAAAGATTGTGCATTTATGAAGCTATGAGGTGTGTAATAGGACTGAGGGAAAACTGGCCCACAGAGGGCATCTTTCTATAGACCAGACCGACATGTGATTTTTTTAATTCAGAAAGAGACTATTTTTGCTGAATACTACTGTATTACATTTGAAATGTTATTCTAAATTAAAAAAACCTAGACTCGAAAAAATACTTTTTAAAAATACTTACCCTCGCGCTCTCATTAATACACCTTTCAGGAAACCGGTTTTGTTCCGGAAAAAGCTTTATTTAGCCTTAAGGTTAGCCTCTGAGTGAAAAATAATTTTATAGATAGATAGCTAAAAGGATCTGGATTTTCAATATATACCTTTTACAAATTTGAATTCACTTCATTTATTGAACAATAATTTTTGCAGAAGGTAGCTATGATT